CATTTCCTAAACTGTCCTATTCCAGAAGTGTCTTAGCAAGTAGCTGCATTGTCTGAAATTCAGATTGGTCATGCTTTCTACTGTAGCTCCTCTCCAAGCTACGGATGTTCAATTTTGTAAAAAGTAGTTGTACGTCCATATTATATCTTTCAGTCACCAACATTTACTTCAGATTTCCTGGTTAAAGATTCGTTAGTGAAATTAGTTTAATTTCTTAGTGTTCTCCACTCTGAACACTTTCACAAAGTACTTAATGTTGTCTGTCTGGACTTTTATTAAAGCCTTTGACATTTTTCCTCAGCACTCTCATGGAGAAGCTGGCAGCCTATGGCTTGAACAGGTACTGAAGATAGTTTTGTTTGATATCTTTATTAATGATTTGGGTGAGGGGATGGAGTGCACCCTCAGTTCACAGGTAAAATCAAGTTGTATGAGAATGTTAATGTGCTGGAGGGCAGGAAGGCTYTGCAGAGGGMTCTGGACRGGCTGGATCCATGGGCTGAGGCCAATGGGGTGAGGTTCAACAAGGCCAAGGGCCGGGTCCTGCCCTTGGCTCACARCAACCCCAGGCAGTGCCACAGGCTGGGACAGAGGGGCTGGAAAGGACCTGGGGGTGCTGTGACAGCAGCTGAACATGAGCCAGGGTGTGCCCAGGTGGCCAAGAAGGCCANAGGTGGCCAAGAAGGCCAATGGCATCCTGGCCTGGATCAGCAATGATGTGGCCAGCAGGAGCAGGGCAGGGATTGTCCCCCTGTCCTGGGCACTGCTGAGGCCACACCTCGAGGGCTGTGTCCAGTTCTGGGCCCCTCCCTGCAGGAAGGAACTGAGGGGCTGCAGCGAGTCCAGAGAAGGCAACGGAGCTGGGGAAGGGTCTGGAGCACAAATCCTGTGMRGAGYRGCTGARKGARCTGGKGGTGTTYAGCCTGGAGAAAAGGAGGCTTAGGGTGACCTAAAAGGAGGTTCTATCCATGTGGGGATTGGTCTGTTTCTTCTCCCARGCAACCAATGACAGGATCAGAGGAAATGGCCARAAGGTGCACCAGGAGTGATTCAGGCTGAGTGAGTATCAGGGAGAAGTTCTTCACAGAAAGGGTGATTARTCATTGGAATGGGCTGCCCGGAGACAGTGGAGTCGTGCCTGGAAGAGTTCAATAATCACCTGGATTTGGCACTTAGTGCTATGGTTTAGTTGATAGGGTCRTGCTCAGTCAAARGCTGGACTTGATGATCTTGGAGGTTGTTTCCAACCTTAATGATTTTATGGTTCTATAAGAAGTGGAAATGACTTCAGGTTGCAGCAGGGAGGTTTAGATTGGATATGAGGAAAAGCTTACAGAAAGTTGTTAAGCTCCCCAGGTTGGTGGTGAAGTTGCAATCCCTGGGATTGTTCAACAAATGAGTTAACATGGCATTTTGTGATATGATTTAGCAGGCAGTGGTATGTATGAGAAGAGGGATGATGATGCATGATGAGCTGTTCTCACCTACATATCCTCTTTCTTTCTCTGTATTCCTTGCTAAAGTGTATGTGAGAAGTTTGCTTCATTGCAGGTGGTTACTACAAGCTGCTGCAACTCAGTCTGCATAGTGACTCTGCCAGGAGTAGTTCATGCTGGTTGTAGTTGTCATAAAGAGTGTGCTCACTGTGGTCTTGAGGTGGAAAATTACAAGAAATGGCACCTGTTCGTCCTGCTACTAAAGCTACATGGGATTTTCAGTAATTCCTTTAGCCTGTTTGCACCAATGGTTTTAGTTCTGTTTCTCTGCTTTTGCAATTGTAGTAAAAGGCTTGGGGAGGCTTAAATTATCCTAGGATGAAAACACATAAAATATTTCTGTAATAAAGTACCAAAGATATGACTGGGAATAAAGCATCCTTCCCCTGCCAGCRTTTTAACAGATTGCAATTACTGCTTTTGTTACGATGTTGCAATACTGTGAAGGAAGATGTGACSGGAAGGAAGTATTGCATAGTTCTCTATTCTGAAATTGATAACGGCTTTGTGGCTGCCTTAGCAAAATATCTGATTCTTTTCTTGAGGAATAAACCTCCTCTAGAGTAGAGATTAAGAAGATGCACAAATAATTACACTTAGGCATTAAAACCTTTATATGTGAATTAAATGTTTGTAGCTGCAACTGCACAACTTAGTAATTGATACATTCCTTATGTCTTTTGTTAAGTTTGAGCACTTTGTAGGTTTGCCTCTAAAACTATGTCACATTAATCATGCAGTTGTTGCCAATTGTAGAGAAGCTTACGTTAGGTACAAAATGGGTTGTGATGGTCCTCTTCCCCTACCCCTTTATCGAAAACCCACTGCTGTGTGCTTATATAGTCGATCAGGGACTAACATACCAGTTTCCATGCCAAGTACGTAATTTACTAATTAAACTTCGRTTGTTTGCAGACCATTTGAATTGTTTTTCCTTTTGACCAGTGAGCATCTATAAATCTTAAGTGCTTCCTTCTCCTTAARAGTTGGTTCTCACACCCTTTATTCTTGATACATCACACCCATTATTCAGTGATAGGTTAATCATAAGCTTGGACAATGTGCTGCATTTAAACTAAAGCTGTAGTCATAAACTAGTGCTATAAGAGCATGGTTTTGAGGGTACTGCTGTTGTTGAATTTTTGTGTTAGACTAAAGTGTAATTTAAGAATGGCAGAGTTAATTTTTTACCCATTACATGCAGCCTTGCAGGGAGGCTGATGCCAGTAGATTTCTAATGACAGGTTACTCACTGAAAAATGGAGTTACGCATACTCAGAAATTGTTATCAATATCAGACTGKTTTTCACTGGATTTTTCTTCCCCACAAATGAGATCCCAGGGGAATAGAACAGTCATGTTTTTTGTGTTTTGCAAAGGCATAAGTCATTAAAAGTCTGTTCTCATCCCTTCTTTCTTACATTTAGAGGAATGAAGTGGTTCCACTCATTGGCTTAGGTAGAAATCAGCCTAATGAGTTTCTTGGCTAGAACCAGCTCTGTAACTTCCAGAGCTAAAATTCAGTATATGTTTTCCATCAAACCTGCTTTTGTTAAGACTGCACAATTAAAAGCTGCACGGTCAATTTGCAGACTGATCAACGAAAATGYGCTTAATTTTTCCACTGAACTACAAATTTCTCTATTCTGGGATCGTTTTAATTAACACTGGCTCACTGTAATTATACAGTGATCCGTAACTTTATAGGGTGTAGTCATACATAATACAGAAATGTTTTTCGAAACTGAACTATTATCAGATCAACCAATCCTCAGAGCTGAATCCCTAAAGCACCAGCCCAGACAATACTGGGAGAGAGGTGTCAACATGAAAACAGTTCAGTCTTGCTGTGGAAGGAACTGCCTTCCTTGTCGTTCAGGAACAATAGCTGCCCCACCCGCTGGACAGAAGTATTAGTTCTTCTAGAGCATTCATGTCCAAAGTGGATAAAAGTGTAAGTGTGGATATGGAACGTGTTTTTTGGCAGGATTTCTGTTGTACTCTAAAAGTTTCCTGTCTTCTGTGGCAAGTCACTTTTGGTAAGTGACGTAACTTTTATTTTTCTCTTTACTATTAATTTGTTACAAATAGCAGTAGCTGAAACAGCTACTGATGCTATCGTTAAGTGGCTTCTGCATCCTGGAATGGCCTAAGTGCTACTGCCCAGTCCACACCCTAACATTTAAGACTGTGGAAGCTTTAATTTCAGCAGGCAGAGGGATGACTCGAGGTTTTTAAAAGTTAAAMAAATGTTTAATTAGTCTGTTAGGTCTGGTGCAACTTTTCATCACTTTGAAAAGTGATCGAGCAGTCAACTTTTTGTGTCAATAAAAACGTATTATTCTGCGAGAACAGGCAACTAATCAGACCAAGTCAAGAACATGGGTTCAAAAATTAAGAGTAAGTCTAGTCTGCCCTTTCTTTTATTTCTCAGAAAAAGTCTGTTATACCGAAGAGCACTTAGGTTACAGTTTGTGCCTGCTTCTTTTGAATCACATTTCTGTTTTTTTCTGTTCCTTCATAGTAAATCAAATGCAAGCTTTTAACATATGATTATGCATGCTAAAGTGTTCTTCTAAATAGCAAGGGGAGTTTACAAACATTAGTTTCCATTGCAGCCTCACACTAAGGTTATGGATGGTGAAGAGATGCCAGCGTCATTCAAAAATAAAAAGGGAAGCAACTGGGTTACGTGGCTTAATCTGATGTTTAGCTAAAGACGGTGAAGGCTAATGAGTGGGTGTTGAGCTTGTGTGTTAAAATAGCCTGAARAAACCTGAACTGCACAAGTTAAGGAAGTTGAAATGACTCAATCTATAGCTTCTGTTACATGTGACACTAGTGCAAGATAAACTTTRTTGTCTGTAATCGAGCTCTTCCTCAGTTGGGGCCAAGACCTCTTCATGTACTGATTGCATTATTAAAATTCAGTATCTGTTCTTGGAGTGTYTGCTTAGCAAGGACTGTCAGCTTAATAGGAGGAAAATACTAGGGACTTAGGACTTCCATTTACTAATTTCATGGCATCTTTCTTAATTGCAACGTTCCTTCTGATTTTCAGTGCCATTATTCCTTTTATGTTGCTGATGGCTGCAGTCTCCTTCCAAGCCATTAAGTGGAATACATTTGTTAGCTTTAAAAGGGCTCTCCACTTGAATTATTCCTCTGCCAGTGCCCTAAATGATGCCTGAGGTGTTTACGCGTGAGTGCTCCTCGCTCGTAGATGATACCCAATACGCTTGTCTTGGTGCGTGTGTTTATGCCATTTGAAGACACTGACTTGATTCAGCTGCACCAAAATGCCGCTGCATACAGCCCTGCAAGTCGGGTTAATTGCCGCTCTTTGAGAGAGCGGTGAGGTTGGTGCGGGCGCAGCCTCAGCTGTGGGGCTGTATCCCGCTCCGCCCCAGCCCGGGAGGTGGGGTGGCCGCAGGGACGGGCGGGGGGTGCTCAGGGATGACAGAGGCGGCTCCGGGGGCGGGCGGCTCCGGGGGCGGGCGGCTGTCGGCGCTCCGGACAGTGCACAGCACCCGCCCGCGGGCGGCCGCCGCCGTGTGGGACAGCTACGGCAGCCCGAGCCCGGCACCGCTGGCCCCGGCGGCCGGGGTGGGGGTTTCTGGCCTTCAGAATTACAGGAAAAAGCRTTACTTGTGCTCAGCCGCGCAGCTTCCTATTTTGTCCGTCCCTTCGCAGTCGCCGGCGGCAGAGGCTCCTTTTAAATCAAGCTCCCGTTCTGCAGCTAAGGTAAGTGAAAAAGATGTTTTCTGCAGAGGCCCCTGTACTCATTTTCGTTTATATGAAGTGTGGGAGRGTGTGGAACTCTTCCCCGGATGGTCACTCACGTGGATCTCTAGCAGTGAAACTTGCTTGCATTTGCGTCTTTCTGGCCATTCATCACAGACTTGGGGCAGGACATGCTTCTGTATCTCTCCGGGCCAAAAATCTCCTTTTGGTTTCGTTCTTTCAAGTCCGTGAGACCATGTGAATTGAAMCTTTCTGTTTAGCTCGTTGCTTTTATCTCATTTTGTAAAGAATGGGATACAGATCCTTGGCAGTGGTTTTCTTTTTGTGTGTAATGCTTAAGAGTCAGTTCTCAAAATGYTTGCAACATATGTAGTCATCAAAGGAAGTAAAAGTTCTTACTTAACTGCTCTCTGCTTAATCAGTTTGTATTCACTCAAATTTTCTTGAAGTGATGTGTCAGATTTAAATGCACTGGCCCCAGGTTTGTTAATGTCTGCAATTTCTGCTTTCTGAGGAAAAATTTTTTTGTAATGAGTTGGCATATGTATCCATTGAGTATCATCTTCATGCACTTAAATTGGGGGATGTCACTTGCCTTCTGACCCTTAATGGACTGTATGATTGTCTTTTGGAAGTGGAGGGTCTGGCATACAAGCCCTAGGAGTGGCTGAATGAGTTGTGGGTGTTTAGCCTGCAGAAAAGAARGCTCAGGGACAGTTTATCACTCTCTACAACTCCCTGAAAAGTTGYGGTGAGATGGGGATGAACCTCTTTTCCCAAGTTAKAAGCAATAGACGAGGAAATTGCCGCAACTTACCCCAGGGAAGGTTTAGATTGGATATTAGGAAAACTTKCTTGTCAGAAAGAGTTGTCAAGCACTGGAATTGTCCAGAAAAATGGTGAGGTCACTGTTCCTGGGGGTATTTAAAAAGTGTGGATGTGGCACTTGGGAACATGGGTTACTGCTTGCCAGTGCTTGGTTGATGATTGCACTTCATGGTCTTTTTGAACTAAAATGATTCTGCKATTGTCTAACATAGTTAGAATCTAGAAGTTGGATTGCATCTATGAATTAAGGCACGCATTGGGGAAGAGAATGKTTTCATGTTTGAAGGAAGCTTCATGTATTGGGCAGAAGAATGGAGTGGTCAGTTCAGATTTTTCTGTCAGGTAGAGGCTAATTAGTAACAAAACAGGTCTCAAAAGGGATAAAAAGGGAGAAGAAAACTAGGCATAGAGGTTGCAGTACTGAGGATTAAAGATCTTTATTTTTGTATAGTAATCTTATAAACCTGGTGAAATTTTGCATTATTGCTTGTAATAATTGTAATTGCTTCTAGGGAACATTTTCAACTAAAAAATGGCATGCAAAATTACAATGGCAATACAAAAGATGTCAAAACATCTTTTGTAGGTCCCATGGAGCCTAATTGCTCGCTAACATGCAGTGTTTTGCCTTGCAGTTTTGGCTGAAATATATAAGTATTTTTAGTAAAGTTTTCAGCATAGATAGTGAAGAAAAGCAGGATATATAACCTTTACAGGCTGATCTGAAGTAGCAGGGTGCTTCAATGAGTCATGGGTTTATAATGTTTTCTAAAATACATGATTAAATGTCCTTTTCAGAATGATGCATTACATGTACAGGTAAGCTTCAGGGCCATAGTTTTGAGTGTAAAGAAAGTATGAAAGTGAAGTTTCGTTCTCATTTTTTTCTCTTTCTCGTATGTCTGTGGGAACATGGTCTTAGCTGCATTGTATTCTGTGTTCTCCCAACACTTGCAGTACTGCTGTAGTACAGGGATTGTAACTATATTCTGTGTTTTGGGGTTGTATCTGATTCCATAACAATCCAGGCAAGTTTCTATTTGCTTTCTTCCAAAACATGTTTTGTTAACATTATTTAAGTAGATATGTGTTTTACATCTAGTTCCAGTCTTAGTTTGGGGGGCAAGACTGGAGAAAGTGAACTAATGCTCTGAAGTAGTAGAATCTTCCTTCTGATTTTCTGACAGGTGTACATTCTGTACAGGTTGTAGATTGAAGCCACCCAAATCTGACCAAATAAGAGATTTGGGTCTGGCTACCCTCTTCTCAGAGTTAACTCTCTTCTACAGAGTTTCTGTAGAGCTCAGTGCATGGGTCCTCCTACCCCTGCCCATGCATTTTGCTCACCTAGTTGCTTGCCACAGCAGAGGCAACTTGTTCTCCATCAACAAAAATGGGCACAAAGGCAATCATTGTCTAATAATGTCTTACCAACTGAAAATAYCTGAAATTATGAAAAATCATCTCTCAAAGTAGACTCTTGTATCCCAAATAGACCTYGTAGTCAGACTGTATAGACACAGCCTAAGAAGGAGGTTTGCTTCTGCTTAAATTGTAGCTTTTTTTGTAGTCTGTTTTTTTTTCCTCAGTACAAAAAGAACAGGGAATGACATTGCCACTCTAAGACCAACATTCTGTCTGGTAATATAATCAACATTTAGTTCTAGTGATACTAATGGCATGGACTTTCTTCTAGTGAGCATTATCAAATTGGATACAAAAATATTTTATGTATTTAAAATAAAAAACATGACCCATTTGTAAAGATGAAGAAAGCAAATCTTGTTTTGTGTTTGTAACTTTAAGCTTTTCCCMAAAAAAATTGTTTCTTGAATGAAGAACAATATATTAATTAGCAAATATGTCTCTGTTTTGCTGCTTTTATCTGAAAATTTTATATCTTAATATTAACATAGAGGAATTTTTTATGCTTGTTCAGAGAATGAGTGATATTCTGTTTTTCCCCTATTAGTATCAAGCTCATRTAGTTAAAAATTTTATTTAAATTCMAATGTAACAGCATTTTGTATTATAATGTGTTATAATTGTATTATAATTCAATGTRCTGTTTTATAAGAAAATGAAGGGTTTATCAAAATACATTTTATATCTGTAACTCCAGGGTATACTAAGCAAAATAATTGTTATCAGCAGTTATTAGCAGAACTGATGTTTCCTGGTCATTATGTCCTTCAGAATTTTAGAAAAAAAGTATCTTACCCTTTTGAATCTACATTTTCTCTTTGGRGGCTGAAAGAGGAAAAAATTGTTTTCCTGCATTTTCAGTTTCTAGTTGATTTGCAGCTTTTAAATTAACAAGTTGTTGAATGTGATGATGGTGATTTTTTTTTCTGTTACAGCGTTCTTAGATCAAGTTTCTGTGGTCAACAGTTGATAYAGCATTTCGAGAGCCTCACCATGTGGCTCCTTTAGATATGTCTGTAAGCTTAATAGTTTTCTCAATAAATATGTGTCATTTTAATTTATTTCCTTTATATGGTGTTAGTAGATTAYGATACCATTAAGTTTTCAGGTAGGCTGTCATAATTTGAAGTATATGTGGGTTTATTTTCCAGAAGAAATTGCACCTAATACCTATTTAGATCAAGTTCTATTTAAAGGTTAACATTTTAAATAATATTCGTCCTCATCTGAGGTTCAGCTGCCTATTTTTGGCTCAGTCAAAGACTCATTTGTGAAACCAGTGTGCCCAGGATCTTTCATCACAATGTCTGTAATTTTTCCCATAGATGGGCTTGTCAGTGCACAAGTTACAGGGGTTAGAGAGCTGGGGAAGCCCATTAGCTATCCCTCAAATTTACTGCTTCTTCCGCTATGTTTACATGTCATTGTCTTTTTCTGACCCAATGTAGAAAACCCTCTTCTTTCCTCCTCAGATATTCACTGGTACTCACCTTTTGTGCAGTCCTGACCAATCACGAATCTGATGCCGCCTGTTACCTAAAAAGGATGCTGAAATATGTACTTGCATGATTTGCCTGAAATGTCATCTTTCCCTCCAGGAAATGCTGATGGATTTGAATCTTGGAGTTCTGAAAAGTGATGGTATTGCTTTTCCAGATGCGTTTTGCAGAACATCAGGTCAATGGGGTTCAATGGGGCAGARTAGAGATTTAGGCTCCTGGCATTCAGTATTTGCTTGTTGGGTATAGGGCGAGGTCTGTCTCTCCCTATGGCAGCCAGCAAATGAAGTAAAGACTAAAATAAAAGATAGGAGTGTCTATTCAGCTTCTTTCCTCTTTCCTAGTTGTTAGGAGAGTGTCAGACTTGGTAAGAAAGAATTTTGTGTCACATTCCAGCAAAGATGTTAAAAATTCTTGAAAATGACTGGAACAAAGAATGGTGCTGAGTGGTGCCATATCCAGTTGGCAGCTGATTGCTAATGAGGTTCCCCAGGGCTCAGTATGGGGCCAAGCGCTGTTCAATATCTTTATTGTTGATCCTCACAAGGGGATCAAGTGCACCCTCAGTAAGTTTGCTGATGAAACCAAGTTGGGTAGGAGTTGATCTGCTGGAGGGCAGGAAGGCTCTGCAGAGGGATCTGGACASGCTGGATCCATGGGCTGAGGCCARTGGGGTGAGGTTCAACAAGGCCAAGGGCYGGGTCCTGCCCTTGGCTCACAACAACCSCAGGCAGTGCCACAGGCTGGGACAGAGGGGCTGGAAAGGACCTGGGGGTGCTGTGACAGCAGCTGAACATGAGCCAGGGTGTGCCCAGGTGGCCAAGAAGGCCARTGGCATCCTGGCCTGGATCAGCAATGGTGTGGCCAGCAGGAGCAGGGCAGGGATTGTCCCCCTGTACTTGAGGCATTGTGTGCCTCAAGTCCATAGATACATTGCAAGGAGAACAAAGACTGGGGATAATGTGGGCCMTCTTCAGGAGGAAATTGAAGACATTGCTGCCCTGGGCAAAGAGAAGGCTGAGGTTTTTGACAATCTCTGTGCCTCAGTCTTCAACAGCAAGTGCTCCACCCACATCACTCAAGTTGAGAAACGCAAAAACAGGAACTGGGAGAATGAAGGCAGAAGAGACTGCTAAACTGCTCTCCCTAATTTTTCATAATTTGAAAAATTATGGTAGTCTAATGAAGTCCTTGATGACTGAAAAAGGGACTTTTATAACCACCATTTTAAAAAGGGACTGCTGGAAC